TTTATTTCAATAGTTTCAGCCAATTTTTGTACACACGACGTCAAAGTTGACCATCAAAACCCGTTTTTGAACATGACGTCGTTGCGTATCCTTGGCAACTGTTTCGGGTATTTCAACGCCATTGGCAAAAAAAAATATCTTAAATCCTACAGCATTCGACGGAAATTACTTTTTCCTTAAAGTTGATATAAAATTTATCGTTTTACGCCGAAAATTGTTTGAGTAATGGAAAGAAAATTGTCAATTTTGTGTAAAATTTGACGTTCAGTTTAGCCGCATTTTTAGGCTTAAAATCGGCTTATTAAAAAATTCCTGAAATAAATTTTTGATTTTTTTTCTATAAATGTCCTTTAAAATGTATACTTAGTCAAAATAACAAAAAAAATAGGGGGTCACCGACTCAATTTTTTCGGTACACGTGATTTTATTTCCCCCACCCCTTTGGATAAAAGGCACGCTATCACGGGGCGTTTGGTTTTTTTATGTTATTGAAACGATCGCCCTGTGTCAAAATCCCGCTTTTTACGGCATTTTACGCTATTATGACCACTGCAGAAAATATATTGATACAATAAAGTGTACGAAATTCCGTATATTATGGATGGACAGGTAAAAATCATTCGGAACTGCCTCGGCTATTATCTATAATATTAACCTCGGAAACAATACGGATTGAAAGTAGTTCTACCACGTGGTTTACAAATGTAAACAGAAACAGAGATGATGTAAAACGAATGTAAATATTTGACATCTAATGTCTGTTTCGGTACTCTTATGCTGAAAAATATGTCAGACAACAATTTGTAATTTAAATATGCCCACCGATGTTCAGTTTTAATCAAATCCGACTAAATGTCAAAAGGTTGGTTTTTTGTACTTTCGGTTTCTACAGCCATATTAGTAAATATAGAAATAATGCTTTGTTTACTTTTGTACCTATGAATTCACTTATTTTAGGTGGTCTTTTACTACATATATTGGAAATAAACTTGTCAACAACTCCAAGCATTAAATTACTATTTGTTTACATATTTAGTTTCTTAGCGTAGGTTAGACCGGAATACCGCTATTGTGTTCGAGGTCCTTATCCGAAGACTGACGGAAAGGGCCGAGTAGTTGCGATTGGGTAAAAATAAGTGAAATTTGATGTACGGGACCGTATATCATGCAATACGTATGTGATCCGTACACTCGTAATATGCGGGAACTTTGAATGAAGTCCGTATTTACTAACATGCGTATTTTTTTTTAATTACACGGTCAGATATTACCAAAATATGATTTTTTTTTTATTCTTGTAAAAACAGATTTTGTATATAAAACAGAATAAAGATGTTCTTCAGAATTACCCACTTTCTACAAGAGGAAAGAAATAAAAGTCTGATCTGACATTTGTCAGAATAACATTAAATAGTAAAATTTTGAGTAAAATGTAATATTTCTCGGTTTTATTAACATGTCAGTTGCATACTGGTTAAATAGTTAGTGAAACATCGACAGATCCTCTACAGTGGCCGTAGCATGTACAGACAAAAAAAAAAGACAATATATATTGAAATATCTTTATTTTGTATAAAGATTTACAACGCAACACTCCTTTTTGTGCCGTATATAACTCAGGGCCGCCGGTTTGCGTATATCTTCTGCTAAAATTCGCAGACGTGTATTTACAGCGTTTCATTACATTTCATGTTCAAAGTACTGTTTCTAATTTTTCCTGTTCAAAATAAATTCTACCATAAATTTGGCTATACAGTGAATAATGAATATTTGCAAAGGCCGATTTGAAAGTAATGTGTTTAATACAGCGTTTATGGTGACTCTTCAATTAATCGTTATTTTTAACATTATGATATTCTAAAATGATAAGCAAAACGAGAGATTATGTGTTACAAATGTTTATCTAATTGTAGAATCGAACGTGCTACATCTGTAATCAAACACCCACTGAGCTAACGTTTCAAGCATGACTGTTGCTTCTGACTGAATTTCATTTATGAACCGTATATTTTAATTTGTAATATTTCGCCAATTCTGTCAAATTGTTGCAATAGTTTTTGATTACAAATGAAATTCAAATTCTGGTTTTTAATAGGTGAAATAAAATACATATCACTCACATTATATCACTCATAGTGTGGGTAACGCAAAATGTATAGATTTGCAGAATTTCTTGTAGACTACGTATTAATTTATGATCAAATTTCCGTAAATTTCTAAATTTACATAAAAAAATATATAGTTGCTTTTTGTTCCTTATGGCGTATTTCTCGATTCAAGTTTATTAATCTTATTGTATTACAATATCAAAAAGGAACACCGCAATGATAACTCTCAGCTGTATTTATTTTTGTTTGCGCAGCGTACGCGTTGCCGTTGTTCAAACGCCTGACGTCATTTTCTTTACATGCGTCTGTTTACAATTCCTTATGAAGTTATTAATCATGCTTATAAAACAAGAAAAAAATCGTTTATTTTTCGTACAATTTTAAGAATTTGCAATAGAACATTAGTGTTGTTGTTTAATATGTATTAGTAATACTTTAGAACAATTCTCCTGATAAGCTGAACATTATTGCCGCACTTTGAAGTCTCAAACGTATCTGCATACGTTGAATATCTACAAAATTACTCACGAGGTGGGGGAAATAAAATCACGTGTACCGAAAAAATTGAGTCGGTGACCCCCTAATTTTTTTAGTTATTTTGACTAAATATTCATTTTAAAGGACGTTTAAAGAAAAAAATCAAAAATTTATTTCAGGAATTTTTTAATAAGCCGCTTTAAAGCCGAAGATTGCGGCTAAACTGAACGTCAAATTTTACACAAAATTGACAATTTTCTTTTAATTACTCAAACAATTTTCGGCGTAAAACAATAAATTTTATATCTGCTTAAAGGAAAAAATGATTTCCATCGAATGTTGTAGGATTTAAGATATTTTGTCCGCCAATGGCGTTGAAATACCCGTAACAGTTGCCAGGATACGCAACGACGTCATGTTCAAAAACGGGTTTTGATGGTCAACTTTGACGTCGTGTGTACAAAAATTGGCTGAAACTATTGAAATAAAATCAACGAAATACAAGCAGAAATATGGTCAATTTTGTGCATGCCAATTTTCAAGACGCTACTCGAAAGTTCGCAAAGTGTCGCGTTCTACCTTAAGTATGCAAGTCATAAGTGATTGCATTTGGAAACCCGTTGAACATTTCAAAACAAGGCAATGTCAAAACCAAAGTTAACCATTTTTTACGTCCCCGCGAGGGATTTGACATTATTGGAAGATAGATAACAACCGCATGTACATTAATTATTAGAGCAACCTGATTAATAAAATCAGCTCCTAACTAACGAAACGCTACAAGTAAACATAAGATTTGAACTTTTATCATGTTGAAATTAACTGTACATTGTAGTCTATTGAATTTAAATGCATTGACTGCGGTTGAATTAACAAACATATTGATTCCGGTGGAAACCGAACTAGACACGGTTTCAACACGGTCCATCCCGACCATCGTCGTTTTGGCCACGGTAATGCTATTGGTGATGCCGGTACTGTGCCGGTGACGCCCTGGTAATGTACCAATGCTTCCTGTTAAAGTTTATGAGAATAAAACTGACTGACCGCGTTGATATCAGCCATTTGGTAAAAAGACAGCAGAGATGCCATCCGAAGGAAAGGGGATGGAAATTGTCTACAACACATTCAGAGGTTGAGGTACCTGACGCTGAAAATGCACCAGCTTAAGAATTTTTTCTTTTCTCATTTAACAAATTGTTCATGCTCGTGTTCCTTCTCTAAACAAAATGATCCAAAGTAGCACTTCAAGTTTATATATTCCTGTTCTTTAAATTTCCTGTATCGGCATGAGGTCGTTACACCACCGTCTATCATCGTTGTATAACCGTACTTGTCTGCAATATCCGGGACATTACCGGAGCGTTGTTGCCAGTGACCTCAATGTACCCTGGCTCTACCGTAGCTCTGCCTGTTTTACCGTGGCAACATCGTGTCATCACCGGGACTTTGCCGTTTGGACATTGATTGACACGCATCCCGGTTTACTACGATTTGTCACGGTATGGATGCAGTATAGATACGGTGGTTTCCCGGCAATTCCCTGTTCCAAGCCGATAGAACACGGATTTGGGCTTCCTCTCGGTGAGTGCCGGTGAGCCCCGGTTGTAGACAACCGTGGTGATCTCTCAGTTTGTTCCGGTTCACCATGGTTTGTCCCTTTACTTCACGGAATTTCAACGACCCAACGCCGGTTTACCACGGTTGATTAAACCGTGGCAAACCGGGACACCAAACCGGGACTGTGTAAATGGGGCTTAAACCGCCCTAGTATGACTGTATTACTATTAGTACTAGCAAGAAAAAAAAGGTCTTCAAATCAATGAAATTACTTAAACCGAATTCTGATCGCGACAATATCATAATACTTTTAAGATGTTGTCAATCAGGGTTATAAATGAAAAAGGGAGACAAAAGAAAAATACTTATCTATTGAGACTTGAATTTCAATTGTATCTTTCTAGAATACGCTTTCTAGCGTCAATATTACATTATAAAGCAGCTCAAATCCACGATATTTAGGTTCATAAAAGAAAACAATTTAAACAAAGATACTTTTTGTTTAATGGCAATTACATTAAAAATAACTATGAGAGCGTTTTAAATTAAAATACTACTACTTTTAATCATGATTTTAACATGAATTAATATCTTGCGACATTTAACGGTAGTGTTGAGACATTTATCGGTAGCGGAAATTCGTGCGACATTAAACGTTAACATTGCGACATTTAACGGCAAATGATTTGCGACATTTAGCGGCAGTTGCGACATTTAGCGGTACTTGTGCGACATTTAGCGGTACTGGTGCGACATTTAGCGGTAAGTGCGACATTTAGCGGCGTTGCGACATATAACGGCGCCACAATGTTTACAGATGTGATTTAGATGTGGGAGGAATTCATAACACTAACAAACATGTGAAACATTTAATTTAACAAACTTTTTTTTCATTCAACATAATAATATCCTACAATTTTTGTTCATATTGATAATTATGATATAGCTACATCAACAATGGTTTTATATACAGCCACATATAGTAATATCAACACAGTATCACCTTAAAAATCACTATCTATCATAAATAATTTACAAATGCTCATACACATACATTACAAGACAGGATTTTATTCTGTTAACACACCTGACGGACTATCCGGACACTACCGTTAATTTGCCTGTTCTTGCCATTTTGGCATTGTACATATATAACAGAAATAACCGATTGTCTATAATAAAATTATCATGTCTTTACATTCAATCTATTAAAGCGAGGCAACAATCCGCCCATAATTAAAGTTAAATATAGGTTATTTTCCTTATGTATCAATTTGTTTTTTGCTCAGGAGTTGCGAATATAAAGATTGTGCCTTTTAAGAGTAAAACATATTTAGAATTTGAAAATTTAGAAAAAGGTACCAACACGATACAACATTATGGATAAGAACACTTGCAATGTTTAAGTCAGATATGTAATAAATTTCTTGTAAGATAATGGATTGAAATTTCTAGTGCATCATAAGACAGTTGTGTACTAAACAATATCAAAACAAATCATATTGTGAACAGTTTCAGAATTACCTTTAAATCTAGAATGTTGTTTAAAAACAAATTATACTCAAAAGCCGCTGACTTTCACAGAAAATATTTTTTTCTAAAAGAAATGAAGTTTTCTTTACTCTCTTACGTACAGGCTTTTTTTTAATTACTGCACTTCTTACTGCAACCAACTGGGGTAATATAACTTATCACAAAGTTCGAGAATGTAAGTATTGTAAGAAACAACAAGGTGCATCTATGTAGACGGTTTAATATCCCGTCTGAACATTAAAATATTACGAAAAAATAATGTCATATTGGTTTTCTGTATCATTTAATACTTTTAACTCGTACTCATATTATGCCGGCAGAAGTGTGGGCGGGTCTTTAAAGAAGTATGGGTGGGTCACATATTGAAGTGAAGGCAGGTCCCACTTAATCTCAAATACTGCCATCCATGTCTTATATGATATGAACCTAGGTAAATGACTACGAGTAAATAACATAACATTTACGACTAAGGCGCTAATATCAATAAACTTAACTAACAAAATGGTACCCGTACATAGTATGGCATTGTTCATAAAATGACAGTTAAATTGCATTTACATGTACATAACTTGCGAGAAAAAAAGATAATGTCAAACCTTTTACCACTGTCAATGAGAAAGAAAAACAAAAAACAATCGAATCAATGTAAAATGTAGATATATTTTATTTCAGAACTGCTCCTCAATAGCCCTGCAAGAAAGACAACTCTAAAATGTTTCAAATGAGTATTATTGTAAGAGTTACTCCTGCATTTCTAGGACACTTCTTGATAATGGGAAACCAGTTTTCAGGCAACTAAGTAATAGAAAGAACATCGAAATACAAGGCTGAATTAATTGTACGAGGGGGCAATACCCCCCCCCCCCCTCTCCTCCGAGTTTAAATCAGATTGCCGAGTGTTTTGTTTCTCTTTTGTATCATAGGAAAAAAAAAAAAAAAAAAACACGTTCCCTGTCGTCCCAGAAATAATTTACCCATGAACGAACATCTAAATATGACTTTTCTATCGTTATCCCATTTTCTATCGTCACAATAAGTAAACCCCAGAAACAAATGAGCAGGCTCTATTTTCATTCCAGACAGACATCGCGGTAGTTTTAGATAGGTGACATACCGGAATTTAAGACATACACAAGCACCAAACAAGAAAGGCCCTGACCTGTTTGTTATATAACACACTTTTGAAAACATTTCAAATTATGCACAACCTGCCTTATCACACAAGAAGACATTGACAACTAAACTGGAATGAAACTGTTTACAAGTTTATGTAAACAAGTATTTATAAGTCCTTTAAGTGCAAAAAGTGACTTAAATTACTGACTATAGAGCATAAGCTTAATATTCAAATACTACATGATATTGCCATTAATCTGTGAGTACTCAAATTGTTATTTGAATAATTTTAATTATGCTGTAAAATCAGCAAATGTAAAGAGAAAAATTATTTTATCGTGAAAACTACATTTTGTCGGTTCGTGATGCTACATTTTCTGAATTATCTAGTTTTATCTTACAGAAATGTTACAGCAACAGTTTTATATGCATATATTCAAACATGAAATTGATACCAGTAATAAAGAAGAAACAATAAGAAATGTTCACCCATTGCAGTATGAAAAATATGACAGACGGGCGGCCCAGGACATACGTATAGTTCAAAATTTCTTTCTGTAATGAAAACAAAATGTCAGACCAGAAATTGCCCTCATTGTTTTCTTTTCTTCAATAATCGTTGTTTAATTACACTGGCAGACGAAAAAAAGATAATCGTATCGATTTATCATCTTGTATCCGTTCATCTAACAAATACATTAGTTTTACAATCCAATCTCTTTTTACACAAGACGTGAAATATGACTTTTGTTCATTTAATGAAAACGGAACGTAAACAAGAATGTGTCTTAAATGTAAAGTTTTATCTTCAGAAATTTGAAAATGCATTTAATCGTTTGTTAATGTTAAGAGAGAAAAACCTTATAAATTTCACAATTGATAGACATATTAGTTCCTCGATAATATAAAGAAAGTTTTGTATAATTATGTGTGTGCTAGTGCCTCAAAAGGTAGCAAGTTTAAACAATAATTTATTTTCGTGGTGTCTTATATGGTTCAACTTAGACCACATCTTTTCTGTAAAGTACGTTTAAACAGTTTTAAAAGTAGTACGGTTATATACATGGATACGACGAAATATTTTAACGGATTCGGGATAGGGCTCTGAATGAAGTATGCATATTGGTGTTCGATATGTTTCTTCATTACAGCAGACGATATTTGACGTCATCATACAATGATGCTAGTACGTCTTCATAAAAAAGTTTAGCTTGTTTATGCTAAAATTAACTAGAGTCGCAAAATTTCTAGCCACAGTTTCTCAGGCAAGCTTGACAGTCTTCCTGCAGGGTCAGTCTTGACCAAGCAGTCTGATTTGAGCATGGTAAAAAGCTAGATATTAAGATATTGCAAGAAAACAAGAAAGCGTTATATCTTATATTATCTACAGTAGTGTCCAGTTTACACTCAAACAAAAAATGAAGCATCCTAAAAAGCCTTGCCAAATAATATATCATTCATACACACGACATCACACAAAAATATCATACACATGAATAAAACCAATACGTTAAAATATACAGAATTATCTCCTCTTATTCCAGAAACTATCGGACGGCACTGTATAGGATTTATCCAAAGCAAGCCACAACACATTTGAATCGTCACACAGTTTGAAGTTCACCTATGATCTGTATTGACAAATGATCTGTACAGTTTTTGGACATCCCGGACCGAGCAATGATTAAAATACTGTGACACAATGTCAAATATATGTTAATATCTGACATCAATACTCAATTTATTAAAATTAATACATACATTAATCCTAAATGAACATGTTTTGTTTTACTCAGATTTATACCCCAGCATAGATTCTTCTATTTAAATGGTAATATATGAAGCTTTACTGCTTTTTTTGTGTGGATTAAAACAATACAAGCTAATTGTCAAATGACTAGGAAGAAATGTTACACGCAATCGTCCCTAACCCAATAATTCTTAATTAATTTCACCCGAGAACACTATCTACTGTTTTTCCATATAAATTATATTTTTTTCTTTTTTTCCATATTTAAAAAAATCGACAGCAAGTTTCGACAAGTTCAATTTTACAATCAATCGTGATCTTTTAAATTATTTTTCATGAATTTTCTTTTGTAAAAAAACAAACAAAAAACTATCGGATGGGTTGACTAGTACTTCGGTACTATGATCTAGAAAAAGAAAAAAAATCCAAAAAGAATAAAAAACAAAATCTATCCTTGTTCTTGCTTAATTACTTAGACTATAATTTTTGTTTTCTGTTATCAAACTCTCTTTGGAACATTTTCTTATTTACAATTAACAGCAATAATTTATACATTTAGTTATTTTTAAAGTGTATTCTACATATCAAACAAAACTTTGACTTTTATAAAAAATTTTCGTGTACTGAAGATTTGCAAATATGTACTAGATCTCTACCATCATACATTCCTTGCGAGAGTTGAATGATGTTAAAATACCATAAAAACAAAGAACTGTCTGGATACTAAATTATGGTGTATAATTTCTTCTTATTTTGAAGTTTGTCCTGTCTGATAAGAAGATTGTATGCAAGGATATAAAAACTGTGTAAAACGAAAGACATTCACCAGTCATTATAATTCTATTTTTAGACGCTATGTTAACCCTATACTACTATCCCAAGGAACTGTTATATGACGGAACCATAACTTTGTTATCCACCATATGATTAACATAAATAAAACACTATTCGGTGAACTATGCACAGATGATGAACTTTTTGATATAGCTGTACAATTAGTAGTCACTATTGTCTCATAGTCAATATCATCTATATCAGCAATCTCGTAAACTTCGTGCGGCTTATAACAACATCCGGCTGGCCCATATACAGCGGCATCCGCAATAGATTTTAAATCTGAAATGACAATGACATACTTTTATTATCTATTACCCTGCTCAATATCTTAAATAGAGTTGTCCATCTTTCAGCCTGGACAAAACCAATCATCATTTATTTTTTTGCAGAAAAATTCAAAATAAGTACTGACTGAACAGTGCAGCACTGTTCGCATAGGTAGATTCAGTCAAATTTCATTAGAAATGCATTAACAAGAATAATATCAAATAAAATAAATGTACTATCTTATTTCTTTCCAAGGCTTAATAAAAATATAATTAATAGATAATATATATTCATCATGTATGTATATTTCTATCAAATATTTATCACATGCTCATGTTTATTGTATTGTTATGGACTAACTTTGCGATAAAAACGCTTTCATTAAACTCTACAATTATACAGCCTGGCATTTGTACGTATTGCTATATAAAATATTTATAAATTCTACAATACTGATATTTTATGGTAGAGTTAAACTTTACAATGACATAAACGAAATCACAGAGGCATACTTATACTTCATGCCATCTGAAACACTTACATGTATATTGTATAATTATTATGTATTTTTTTCTTATAAAGAAACAAAGGTTCAGATCGCAATGTTTAGAGGTCGGGTAAGAATGATTATTGAAAACACGTATGGCACGACATTAACTTTGGAACTGCAGAATCAAAATCAGTAAAATTAAGTATGACAATAATACATGGCCATTCTGTCATCTTTCACAATAGTTGCATGTATGATAAAACTTTAGTAACAAACAAAACAAAAAAAAAGAAAAAAAGAACAAGGAGTGTACAAGCTTTGCTGAGTAGGATTCGTTAGAAATGTACACGTCCGATTAGCGAGTTTATGTCAAGGACATTATGAAGCCTTATAATAAATTAGTACACACTATTGTATATAAACAACATCTTGTGTATTTTCACAGCTCTAAATCATATTTACGTCTGTATCTACATACAACTATTGTCTGTTGTATAACAACAATAGACAGAGACAATATAATTGAGATATATGCCCCCATTTAAAGGTAACAGCGATATCACAACACCCCTGAGATGTTGATAACACATTTAATTTGATGTATTAAACCTTTCTTACAAAGACAGCCGTTTGTTAATCATGTTATATATAAAGAAAAGCGTCTAAGACGTCATAAGTTATAATATTTCCTGTAAAATAAACAGGAACAAAAACTGTAAAAAAACTGCCAGAATTGACGAACAAACTACATGTACACATACACGTACAGTGATAATGACAAAAATACTCATATAAAACATGTACATTTGTGTCTGTAATGTCTATATGTAAAGTACGTTATGTTGGTATGCATGCACGTAAAAGAACTTGTATGCCTGGTACAAAACGGGATGAAAATACTTTACACTCTTGTAGAAGTAATCGTACAGTTGACCGTGATTTGTGGGTTACATAGTTAACTATATAGTACTACGCATTCTAAAAGCCCCCATGTTGGTTGAAATATTCTTGAGTCAAATAGTTTATTTAATATATTCATACATCAAAATTGAACAGTTGTCCTACAGCAATAAAATAAAGGTAAAGTACTAATCTTGCTGAAATAGAGGCCCCTTCTACCATTAACGCCGTGATAGTCAACTAAATGCTATTTTGAACATGGTGTATACAATATAATATCAGTTCAGAGACATACTTTAGAAAAAGTTCAAAAGTTAAAACCTCATATGAAACCGTGTATATGTATAAAGATGACGTTTTGATAGACAGGCGAGATACTTTACGGAAATAGCGTGCTGCACTGGTAGAACCGATAAACACAATTGGCGCAATAACCAATATTTACTCCCAGAGGTCAAAAGGGCTCATCAAAAACTACCAAGGAATGAAATAATTGCATGTATCCTCTGTCGTAGGTTTACAGACAAAATGAAGGTATCAACAGTCGGCTATTCATGACCATGTATTAAGCAAACCACTGATGAAGTACCGTTCGGTTAGCTCAGTTGGTAGAGCCTGACTCGGGCGACCCGCTTTCGACTTCCGGATGGCCCAGATCACTTTCGTGTTAATTGATCATGAAATCCTTTATACGTTCATTCGCATTGTACCTCTGCTCTGGCATGTACAGAAGTAATAGCAGTTCCTAGCGAAAATGAAAGCATCTATGTCTAGTAGAATGCTTGCCAGCGTTCCCAGGAACGATGAGGTGCCTGAATGAATTTAAAGTGGCTTACTGCCGTGATCCATAGGACGAACTGTAGAAATTACCACCACAAAACCACTTATTGAGACATTGTTTTATCGGTTTAAGTCCAGTCACTTGTAATATTAGTGAATTAGCTATATCGTAACAGTTATTTAGTCATATTCACTACCTTACAAAATAAGTCATACGTTAACTATGCATTCAGTTAAAACATAAGGTGAATTGGTCTTTTACGTAATAGTGCATAAGTGACTTACTTACATATGCAAATGTGTATAAGTCATTAGTTACATCTCGTTAATCATTACAGTAATGTGAATTACTCGTTGAATAACAGTGGAATCAACAGCATATTAAAATGAATTAATCATTAAAATTACGCTGAATTCAACATAATATAACAATGGATTAATCTTCACATTATAGTTAATAATCATTATACTCGACAGTGAAATATTTGAGAGCGAATAAATCTTTCTATTTCAGTAAATAAATCAGTATTTGAAAGTGAATTCACCATTGAATAAAATTAATTCATCATTACATTAAGTGAATTAATCATTAGATTACATGAATTCATCAATACATTAAAATGATTCAATCATTAAAATTATAACAGTAAACTAATCTAATTATTTGACAGTGAATTAATAATCATGAATTGTTTATTATTTTACAGTAAATTAAAGTGACAGTTTGCTTGTAAAACACAAGTTCTTTGTCCCATATCTGTGGAAAATAAGTCCAGATGAATATTGTTACAAAAATAAGTCGAGGCGAATATTGTTACATTATGAAAGTTTAGTTGACTAAAGGTTTATATTATAGTCAATATAACAAGAGCCATAGCCAGGCGAAGACCACATTCGACTTTTTGTTAAGTCTAAGTTCTAACACATTAAAGAAAGACTATTGCACTGTCTTGAACAAATTATAATTTAAATTTGTCAGTCAAGGTAACATTTGAATGAATCATCATTGCCAGCTTTGTAATAAGTGTTCTTTTGTCCAAGAAAGAACCAAATCTATAAATAAACAACGAAGTTATGACAATTAAAGTAAATTTTCATAATATGACCTTGAAGGACAATTAAAGGTTAAGGTCATATCAGAATAATTCAACATGCCGGTTTTGTCATATGTGCTCTAAATCAAATCCATTAATGAACAACAAAGTTATGACAATTTTAGCAAATTTCAATAATTTGACATTTGCTTTCAATGTCAATTTAAGTTCAAGGTCATATCAGAATAATTCAACATGTTCTTTTGTCTAAGTATAAATTAAATTCGCAAATAAATTACAAAGTTATGACAATATAACATAAATTCAATATTTGACATAAAGGGTCAAGGTTATATAAAGGTCAAAGTCATACTTTGATTACTTTACTTGTCAGTTTTGTTATAAGTGTTCTTTTGCCCAAGTATAAATCAAAACCATTAATGAATAACAAAGAAATGTCCAATTGTTGCAAAATGAAATAACTTGAACTGTAGTGTGAAGGTTAAACTAAGGTCAAGGTCAAGTTAAATTCAATATTCTTTTATATCTTGTCTCGTAGATTGTTGTGCCAATATGAGGAAAATCCATTCATTACTTTCAAAGTTAAAGCCAATAAATAACAATAATTTGATCTTCAAGGTAAAGGTCATTTACGAGTCAAGGTCAAATTGGGAACGATATATTTTAGACATTGTCCTTACAGTAGATATGATTAAGTATGAAGACATTCCATTCATAAATAACAAAGTTATAACCAATATTAGTAAAAATTAAGCAAAATTCACAAATTTGACATTCAAGGTTTAGGTCATTGATGAGAGAAGGTCATAATCAATTATGTCTGCAAAAATGTCTTGTCCTAAGAATTATTGTGTCCAAGTATGAAGACAATCCATTCATAAATAACAAACTTATATTCAATTATAGCTAAAATCAAGCAAAATTCGAATATCTGGCCTTGAAGGTCAAGGGCATTTATGTTTTAAGTTTAGTCAGGGCAACTTGAAGGTATTGACAAAGGTTATTGAGTCAAAATATGTAGGCAATCCATTGAGAAATAAAAAAGTATGACCAACGTTAAAGACAACATGACTATAGCAATAGCTCTTTCTTTCTTCGAACAAGTCGAGCTAAAAATAGTCGGCAAACAGACAATTAAACTCACAGACAGACAGACAAACATGTCCAACTAGATGACATGAAAACCTCACTATGAGCCTATTGTTCTCATATAATGGTATATTGTAGACTTACCTTTGCATAAGAACCCCGGTTCTCCTATAAGAGTCTCTCCGTGCGGACGGAAGAACGGACATGATTCTGAAACGTCATCACAGAAGTCTATGCATGGTTTAATTTGTCCATCTGTGGTATAGTAGGTATTATATACTGAGCACAACCATCGTTTATAGGCAGACTGAAAATACATATAATGTAAACATGTTTATATTTATATTCGATATCGTACATACCATTTACAAATGTATATATTTAATAACCTGAAACATTGCAGTTCCTAGTGAATTTCAATGCGTTCTTTACCTCTAAGAAGAAATAGCGTAGTTCTAATTTGTAAAGTTTTATGTATTAATTATTACGCAAAAAAAGTCATAATTATTTTTTATGTATAAATAACACAAATCTTAAAAATGAAAATGAGGATGGTTGATCACAAATCCCTGAAAACAATGAGTACGGCTATTATTTTACAACAAACAACAAATTTCTAAAACTATCCATTAGATATTGACAGCCTGAAATTAGAAATTATATAGTCTGTCTGCAGTACGAAATTATAGACATAAGATATTGGCAAAGTGACATAAAGAATAATATTGACATAACAAAACTTCTTCATAGCCTTTTGAGATACAAAGAAAACATACTGCGAAATATTATAACACTAGTACACAAAAATAAAGTTTAAAGATTATGATTATGCCCAATATGATAATTTTTCTATTATCTGCAATATAAAATGGATGAAAATAAAGATGCAAGAGTGGTGTTTTTGTTATTTCAAGTATTTAGAATCTAACAAATACAGAAAAGAGCAATGCATGTATATAGAGACACAAAACCTACCTATTTGATATATTTCATTTACGACAGACAAACAAACAGACCTTATAACGTACATATATAAGCTATTGATATATAGGCTATTGAGATATCAGTTATTGAGAAATAAGCTATTGAGATATAAATTATTGAGATATAGGCTATTGAGATATAAACTATTGAGATATAATCTATTGAGATATAGGCTATTTATATATAGACTATTGAGATTTAAGCTATTGAGATATAACCTATTGAGATATAACCTATTGAGATATAGGCTATTTAGATATAGACTATTCAGATTTAAGTTATTGAGGTAAAGGCTATTTAGATATAGGCTATTGGGATATAAGCTATTGAGATATAGGCTATTTAGATATAGACTATTAAGATTTGAGCTATTATAATATAAGCTATTGAGATATAAGCTAATGAGATATAAGCTTTTGAGATATTAGCTATTGAGATATGGGCTATTTAGATATAGACTATTGAGATTTAAGCTATTGAGATATAAGCTATTGAGATATAAGCTATTGAGATATAAGTTTTTGAGATATTAGCTATTGAGATATGGGCTATTTAGATATAAGCTATTGAGATATCAGCTACTCTGATATGAGCTATTGAGATATAAGCTATTGAGATATAAGCTATTGAGATATAGGCTATTGATATATAAGTTATTTAGATATATGTTATGGAGGTACAGGCTATTGAGATATTAGCTATTGAGATATAGGCTATTTAGATATAGACTTTGAGATTTAAGCTATTGAGATATAAGCTTTTGAGATATTACCTATTGAGATATAAGTTATTTAGATATATGTTATTGAGATATATGCTATTGAAATACAAACAGTTTATAACCTATTAAGATATAGACTGTTGTATTATATACGTTTATATATTTCATAATATATCTAGTTTTCATCATCACACCATAATTACAACAAAAGTTTTCCCAGTAGTTTAAAACTTCAAAATCTGTACACTAACGTTTCCTTTTAATATCTGTACATAAAATCTTAAATGAAGGAGGAAAAAGATGTGAATTTCATAAAAAAAAAAATACAATTTCCTTCAAAATATCAAATGGAATTTGACTGCTTAATGATGTATTTGATATTCAACTCACGTTAAAGGATTTTATTTTATGTCATCCTGCGTTTCTAGTTTTTGAAAACTAGAGACTGTTTTATGTAGTTTATTTGCAGTTGGTAACGTTTCATAGAATTGTATGATTTTTCTTGGAAGATACTTCTAATGATGCGGAAATAAGAAAAGACAAATGTTATTCATTTTACCATTAATTATAACAGAACATAAAAATCGGTTCCTTAAAACATTACCCGGAATTATATATGTATGTATATTTTTTCGAATAATTTCAAAAGTAAAGAAAAAGTTAAAGCAGCGTTTTTATGTCAATTTCATATTTAAGCTATTATAAAAGGCTAAGTAGCATGAAGTTAAACAAGAGCCACCGCCGGGCGGGGGCAACGCTCGACTTTTTACTTTTTCTTAAAGCAAACAAATGTTTGAACAAATCTTAACGTTTCATTTGAACAAATCTTAACGTTTCATTTGAATAAATTTAATCGGTCTGTCTTGTCACAATAGTTTTGTCTATATATTTTGTATATTTATACATAGGCATTCATATATATATATATAATTTAACCTTCAAGGTCAAGGTCATTAAAGAGCCCAAGAAACATGAAGGGTTTGTCCTTAAGAATGTTCTGTTATAATATGAAGACAATCGATTCAAAAATAACAAAGTTACAGCCAATAATAGCAAAAAAATGACAATTTCAATCATTTGACCTTCAAGGTCAAGGTCATTTATGAGTGAAGGTCAAGGTCTGTCTGGTTATTTTTAACGGTTATCCTTGAAGATTATTTTGTTCAAGTTTGAAAACAATCCATTTAAAAATAACAAAGTTACAGCCAATAATAGCAAAAAAAATGAAAATATCAAATAATTTGACCTTCAAAGTCAAGGTCATTTATGAGTATAGGTCAAGGTCTGTCTGGTTCTTTTTAAAGGGCTATCCATGAAGATTATTATGTTCAAGTTTGAAGACAATCCATTCAAAAATAACAAAGTTACAGCCAATAATAGCCAAAAAAAAGACAATTTCAATAATTTGACCTTTAAAGTCAAGGTCATTTATGAGTGAAGGTCAAGGTCTGTCTGATTATTTTTAAGGAATATCCTTGAAGATTATTATGTTCAAGTTTGAAGACAAAAATAACAAAGTTACAGCAAGAACAAGCAAAATTTGGACTTTTGACCTTGAAGGTCAAGGTCATTTAAGGATGAAGGTCAAGGTTAGTGTGGTTTAGTGAAAGGTCTTGTCCCAAGGGTTGTTGTGGCCAAGTATGAAGACAATACACCAAGAACTAAAAAAGTTATGATCAAGGTACAAGTTTGCGGACGCAACGGCAACGCCGCCAGGACTATAACAATACCTCTTTTTTTCAAAAAAAAGTCGAGCTTATAAAATGATTCTGCCACGATTTCATCTATTTTATTCCAATCCTTAATAGGAATAATTGAATGTAAAATAACAGAGCAGAAGAAGGAAAATAGACTCATACAATTGACTTGGTTCGCGACAAAATATTATTTTCTTCATTGTCATGAATAGCTTCATGTATCATAGCTTTTCTTGCCCATATATAAAGAGAGAAAAAAAAATTAAAAAAAGAAAACAACATACAAAAAACAATAATTATTTTTTAGCAAAAGATTCAAAAGATTAAGTGGTATGTTTTCTAACGTAATTTACCACAGACATAAACACTCGTCTTCTTCTGGTCACATTTATGTTTTCTTTACATGATTATATACATCGTGAATGTTCTCGCGTGGATTACTCGGGAAAATACATTGTTTTTCCGTTATCCAATTTAGAACTATAATTACATACTAGAGGAGAAACAAATGCTTTGTCGCCTTTTCTAGCAACTTGTATATCAGGTACCAGTTAATCATCATAAAGGCTACACTAGAATAATCGTGTGGCAATATAAAACAATATAATAACATCCTTTAATCTTCTTTTTACTCTTAGAAATTCTGAACGGGCGGTAACGAACGACTTACAAGAGCATCATTAACTTAACATTGCCTTAGTATATTTGAACCCTTCTCCTACAACAAACCATTACTGTTGACAAGTGAGGACACATTAAGACTCGACTCAACGAACCCTAAGGTGAGAGACAGACACAATAACCACTAGACCACTTTTCTCCTTTACGAACTAACCTTCGGTAGTAAATAATAATATTCTAGATAGAACAAACTACGGAGGTAAATAACACTATCCTAACAAAATGATCCGTGAAATAAAAAAATATCTCTAAAACAGATGAGACAAAAAGTTACAATATCAGATATGTCAACATTTGAAGTTTTTCAAACCATTTTAAATCAACTTTTAAAAACAAAAACTTTAAAAAAAACTTTTTAAAATTAATGTTTGGAGCAAGAGGTGTTAACTTAAGTAAATACGAAATCATTTTTCTTTTCAAAATGACAAAACTATGAGAGGATCTCACAAATAAAATGAAAGTTAAAAAAAACAACATATTTTTGTTTTTCAATTACTCGACTAGGAAATAATTAGCATGGTCTAACACAAGTGTTAGATTTCTCAAATAACACGCCATTTCTGAGAAAACTGCTACCGGACAAATATAAGACATAACGGTTTTCTTCCCGTTTCACAGGGGACATGTCCGTAATTGAATTGTATTTGTTTGGTGAATGACAAACTAGTTTACCTCCTGTTTGAGGGTTCCTCTCCCACAATATGACATAAAATCAATCTGCCGACTAAGAAACAAATCACCGGGATGTCTATGGTAAGAATTTACTTAGACTGGGAGGATTTTTCTGTTTTCATAAATGGATTGAGTTTATACGACGGACCGCCAGTCCAATTTAGAAAATAAGGTTTAAAGTTCTGATCGACGATATACATACAATTTATATGTTGTACTCTGTTATCATAGGATGCCGTTTATCACTGATTCCATAAATACTCTAATACATTTATGTAACAGAATTTATTTATTAGTCTATGAATGCGACGCGAGACTAGATTTACACAGAACTAAAGATCCAGAAATATTTATACAAAACTACTGTGTATGTTAAATTTCATATCATTCGATGATGCGGGTATAAGGAAATATTTATTCTATTACTAAATGTTTAATGTTTCATATTATATAATATTGAATGCAATATTTCATATTGAGAAGCCTCATACTTTTACATTTCGAAGATTTAAGAATTGTTTAATAAATGAGGCAAAAATAATACAATTCTCA